GGTGTGAGATCACAAGTGCAAATAAAGTACATACAAAATCAGATTTTTTTCCAATAATACATATTTTTTCCTATTTTTTTCCTCTTTAAAAAAATTCTTTGTTATAAGGGGTCACTGTGTAAAAGGAGGAAGGAATTACAGGGGGAAACATAAGTGATATGAAAATAAAATATCTTAATAAAAAATCAGTTTAAAAGATGTAGGTGGCATCTTTGCTGCCAGTATAAAATGCTATGAAGCTGGGAAGTATAGCAAATATTTTGAATTATAGCACGAGGATTCAAAAAAGATCTTAATAGGCTGAATGATGGGCAGAGTCTATTAAGATGAAATTGAATAGCAAGAAATGCAAAGTCTTTGCACTCAAGCTAAAAAAATCAGTTGTATAAATATTAAGATTAAAGTGAAATGATTGGACTAGTACATTGAAAAGGAGCTAATGGGGTCTTTGGTTGCATTAATAAAAGAATAGTGTCCAGAGTGAGAGAGGTTTCAGTCTCATGGCACTTTGCCCTGCTCTGACCACATCTAAAGTATTGGCTTATTTCTGGGTTACAGGTTGTAAGAACAACATGAACAAAGTGGCAGTAGATACCCAGGAGGGTGAGATTCAAAACTGTGCCATATAAGCAACTGTGAAGGAACTGGGTAGAGTAGATCTGGAGAAAAAGAGGAGCATGACAGTGATCTTAAAAATATTTGAAGGTCTGCCATACAGAAAGGAGTTAGATTTATGAATTACTCCAAAGGGCAATACAAGGATCACGGAGTATTAAGTTACAGGGGGAAAGCTCAGTTAAGTGCTTCCTAACAATTACAGCTGTTTGAAAATGGAATGAGTTGTGCATATACTGAGTTCTACACTATGGGAAGTTTTCAAGGAGAGACTGGGTGTCCACATGTCCAGAATATGGTAGAGAAGGTCTCTTTCAACTTTATGATTCTATATGTCTAGCCAGGTGTGAGGTAATAAGGGTGTGCACTAGAGTGGAAGCATTGAGAATACACAGGTAGGGATAGGTTTAAGCGATATAGTACTGGGAAGAAAGAATCTTCAGTACTTAGTGCCTGATGGGATATGAACAGATGGGGGAGAGAAAGGCATACAAGATGACTGTGATGTTTCTAGCCTGAGTTGCTAGAAGAATGATGGCACCACTGGCAGAAATAGAGAAACAAGGAAGGAAGTCAGTAATATGAAACAAGAGGAAATATTCAATGGGCATTTGGAGATGGGGAGATGGAAGACAGGAACTCAATTAAGATTGATAGATAATAGATTTGGAAATCATCTGTTTTGAGGGATTCATTGAAGTCAATATAGGGCGTGATGCCTTGGATGAAAAAAATATATGGAAAGAACAGAGGATCCAAACAGAACGTAAGAGAGGGTCTATACTTGTGGGGCAAAAGGAAGAAGAGGGACCCATGAAGGAGATACAAGTGATGAAGGGAGGTATCAAGAGGACCAGAATTGTATAGGGTTATAAAAGCCAAGTAAACAGGTAGGTAGTACAGTGAAGAGAGCACCAGGCCTGGAGTCAGGAAGATCTCAGTCCAAATCCAGCTTCAGACACTTACTAACTGTGTGACCCTGAGCAAGTCACTTAACCCTATTTGCCTCAGTTTCCTCATCTGTAAATAAGCTGGAGAAGGAAATGGCAAAGCACTCCGGTATCTTTGCCAAGAGAACCCCAAATGGGGTCACAGAGCTGATGGCCAAACAACAACATGATAGCCAAGGAAGGAGAGACTATAGAGAAGAAGGAGTTGTCAGTAATAAATGCTACATAGTGGTTGAGGGGAATGAGAAATACAGTAAAGGTCACTGGATTTACAACGAGGCGATCCTTTAAAATTACTTACCTGCCTTTAGCTCAGTCTATCTCTCCCAGGCCACAGCAAGTAGAAAATGGAAATTTTTGTCATCAGGTGACTGGCCAATCTTGCTTTGGGTGCTGAGTCACAAACCCATTACTCTTGTACACTTAGAAGTTTAGATTCTTTGAGCTGGAAAAGAATTCAAAGGTCATCTTTCTAATCCATCTAGAGACAGATGACTTAGAATTCTCCAAGGTAAAGAGTATGCCAACCCCTCCGTCATGTTCCAAGAAGCTAGGCCTACTCTCTTGGACAAACTAGCCGGGGGTGTGCTGTTCCAAAGAGAAAGCCAGACTTTGGCTGATGCAGGCAAATTTTTTAAAAAAGGAGCAACTGAGGAAAAAGGAGTAGGGGGATATTTTTATTATGGAGCTTCCTAATAGTAGTGCAGAAGGAGGAAGAGAATGAGCATTTATATAGCACCTACTATGTACTAGGGACTATGCTAGACAGTATTTTTACAAACATTATCTCAATGGATCTTCACAACAACCCAGAAAGGTAGATGCTATTGTTATCCTCATTTCACTGGGGCAAACAGAGGTTGTGACTTAGCCAGGGTCACATAGCCAATAATTATCTGAGGGCAGGTTTTAATTCAGGTCTTCCTGACTTCAGGACTAGAGCTCTGTCCACTGAGCCACCTGTTGCCTCTTCAAAGAGTGGAAGGGATTAGCAGAGGAACAAATTATGTATGGAGATGTTTAGGACTGAGTTGAATGGGGACAAAGGTTTTAGAGGAGGTAGGGTCTCATTCTGTCTTAAGAGGGCATGGGTGTACCCTAGGGATTCTGGGCTCTGTTGGGTGAGCTTGCCTCTTATCTTTCATAGAACCAGGCCTCCATGCCAGTTCTGTACACCATGTCCCATGCCCCACCCCTGAACCCTCACTTTCAAGCTCTCATTTATATTTGTCCTTCTCCATTAGACTGTTCCAGTTCCCATTTAAATTTGTTCTTCTCCATTAGAATATAATCTCCTTGAGGGCAAGAACTTTCTTGGCTCTGTGTATTTCTATCCCTGTGCAGTCAGCACAATTCCTGGCACATAGTAGGTACTTTATCTCAGGAATAAAACAACTAACCCAATTAAAGGGGGAAGAAAACTATCTTGTTAGTCCCTGGAAGCTTGTGAACAGGGACATGGACACACACACGTATGTTTGTATGCATATATATATTTGGACTGGACCTATGATTTCACTGGCATGGAGAACTCTAAATCAGCAGGCTCCTATCCGGGCAGATCAACATGTGCTCAGCAACTTATAGTTACAATGAGTTGTGCAGGGAACTGCGGTAAGTGACTTGCCCAAAACCACACAGCCCATATGTCTCTGAGGAGGGACTTGAATCCAGATCTTCCTGACTCCTAGTTCAACTCTCTCCACTACTCCTTACTACTTCTCATATGTACTATAACAACCATCCCTCTATACTTATCAAGAACCAGGCTTGGCTGATTTCCAGGCTCTGGGAGTAAACCCTGTTGTGACCAAGTTTCTTGTCAGTGACTCAGTGAGACAGCTGTAGGAAGGAAGACAAGAATGTAACTTCTACTCGCCAAGCTTGATATACATGTGATTCTTCTTCCCATCTAGTAGCCCCCACCATTGTCAAGGCCTCTCTTCCCTTCATATTTTAGGAATGCTTCCCATTTTCAGTCTTTTATGTTCATTTGAATCTTTTATTTCAGTTAAAATGTTGGGAGCAAAGGGCCTGATGCATAGTGTGACCTCTGCCCCCTGTCACCTAGCTCCCCAATCTTCCAGTGATGTTACTGACCCCATCCTTGCCTACTACTCTAGCTGCTTTGAGAGTAGAGAAGAAAGCACAGCATTAGGATAGAAAAATCATCAAGGTAGAGTGGAAAGATTACTATATTTAGAAACAGAGAGCATAGGTTCAGGTCCTCATGTCACCATCTGTTACCTGTGTGACTTTAGGCAAGTCACCCCCCTGGGCTTTAGTCTCCTCAACCGTAAAATGACAAGGCTGAACCAAATCAGCCGTGAGATTCCTTCCAGTTCTTAATCTACGATCCTCTAATCCACCTGAGACAGTGCCATCTGGACCAGGAGCGTTGTCATTTCTGGACGTTTCAAACCAAGTCTGGCCATTGTCCAGTGGGTGGTGCCAGAGAGTTTACTCAGTACAGATCCGATACCGGTGCTGAAGGTTGACAAGGGTTATCACTGTCTGAGCTCTGGTGAGGCACCAGCCAAAGAAGCTGGCAGCCACCAATACCACAGCCACCTTTTTAATGCGTGTTTTCATTTCTTCCCCATCATGATTCTCAATTGAAATAGACCAAGTGACTGAGGATGCCTTGAGATCTGTGTTATAAAGAGGAATGCCACAATCCTGAAGCTGGAGAAGAAAAGGAAAGCAAGGAAGGAAAGGAAAGAGCTTCAACTTTGCTTTCAATTTCACCTGGTTAAGAAATGTTTTCCTCCAACCTTTGCAAACATACCAGTTTATCCTGAGAGAGGGCTATGGGGCTGTGCTCTTCCAGCAGAGGGATTCCTTTTAAAGAAGAGGCTTGAATCTGCACATGCTCAGCATAGGTGTAGGGCAGAATGGTTTTTCATCTCAAATTCTGGATTTTCAAGAATGGATTTGTCCAGAAGTTAATTCTATCATAGAGAAAAATACCACACTAAAAAAAATTGCTTTGTCAATTTGAGGACCCATTTGAGGAGCAGCCTAACCCAGGGAGCAATTTCTGGTTAAAATGGCATCATGTTGGCCTTTTCTTGGCTGGAGTCCAGTGAGAGAGAAGCTGTGCAAGAGTTTGGAACTCTTAGGGGTGGGAGGGAGAAAGAAGGGAAAGGAGATGGGATGGGACAGGGGGAGGTTGTTTCCAAGACAACGGTTTGGAGAAAGAAAAGACAAAGCTTGGAAAGAAAGAAAGCCAGCAGGACGGATACCCTAGAAACCAGAGGAAAAGATGGTCCAGTGCTTGGCACCATATCAAGGACCAAGTAAGGTTAAGGTGGAAAAGTCAAATGATTAGTTCTTCAGCATTTCTTGGCCTCTTGTAGCAGAAGTGGGAGGAGACTCATCAGCCAGTATTTATATTCAGAGTGGGGTATGTAGTATGTAAAAACTGCCAGATGACTCCCTCCCCCATTATATCTTCCTCTACTTAAAGCTCTCCCTTTTCAAAGAGCCTGGCTCAAGGCTTTATCAGCTGTTGCCTTCTGCCAGGGAGAAACCAGAAAGTTTGTAAGTATCCTCTTAATGTCTGTTATTTTGAGTTTTCCTCATTACTGGGTAATTTGTGTTATTGTTTATCTGCATTTCTTTATTCCCCACCCCTCCCCTCTTTGGAAAACTGCACAGTTTCTCTGTATGCCTGAACTAAATAGACTAGCTCTAAAGGCACAGTTCAAGGGATTCAGCCAGCTTTGGGTTTTTGTTTTCTTTTGACCCAAACCACCAGCTTCTCTAAGAGGCTCGAATGTGCTATCATCCTCCAGTGAGGTATTTGCTTCCTCACTGTTGTTGATTGTTAAGACAGAGTAGAATAAATTTGACCAAAAATGACAGAGGATATATATGACAAAGGAATCCCTTTGACTACTAAGTGGTCATTCAGTGGAATGCTGAATGTGGAGTCAAAGAGGTGAGTTTGGACCCAGCTCTGCCATCAACTCCCTATGTCACCCTGGACTAATCCCTTATTGTCTAAACTTCAGTTTTCTTAACTAGCAGACACAGCTTCAGAATTAGAGTTCCAATGTGGGCTCTGTCACTTGCTACCTGTGTGTCCTTGGGCAAATCCCTTATCCTCTCTCAGTCTTAGTTTTCTCATCTACAAAATGGGGATAATACAGAATGTCCCAAAAATCTTAATGAAGTTTTAGCTATTGAGCTAAAATGACTAAGACTAAATTATTAAGGCTTAAAACTGCATTTTTGAGACACCCTATGTTAATAACCTACTTCCCAGGGTTGTTGTGAGGATTAAATGAGAAAACATGTATAAAGGACTTTATGAACTTTAAAGTGCTATTATAAATGCTAGATATTATGATTATAGAAAATAAGGAGGACAAATTAAGTGACCTCTAAGGCTCTTTCCAACTATAAACCTATCTTATGACTTGATGACTTTTGAAATCCCCCCACCCCACCCCAGCCCTAAAGTAGTGATTCTAGGTTCCTCTGGAGAAGAAGCTTGTGTTCTTGAAATAGTTAAATAGCATAGGAAACTTTGTATTTCTATGACTCAATGGGAGTAAGTAAGGCACAGGGTATGGCCCTTCCTAACTATGAATTTATATGCTTTTCTACTTGCCCTGTCATGCTGAGAGAGTTTGTTTCGCAAAAGCCCATACTGAATGGAAAGAACTGTTCTATCACATCTGAAGTCACTGGCTAGGATAGTTCTGATGGTACTGCCACATACATGCAAATTTCTAGACTGACTCACAGATAATTGAAAGAAAAGGACTTACCAGGGAATGGGATATGAGGCAATTTCTTTTTTTTTTTTCTTATTCCAGCCTGGCTTTAAAGGAGTTTGGGTTCCACCTGCTGCATCAGAGTTGTGAATACCCAAATTAAAGATTATTTGTAAGTACCAAATGCATCCCTTAAAGACGAAAGTTCTGTTCTTACTAGAACATGAATGTTTGAATATCCCTCACTTAGGAAAAAAAAAAACATATGTTAGGTATGCAACTAGAGATTTTATTTTAAACCCATCATTGATTTTATAACTTAAAAGTGAAACTTGCCTCAGGAGTTAAAGAATGACAGTCTTCGGCTTTATGGCTTTCAAACATAGAGCACCATGGAACAGTGAAAGAGATTTGATTCGGGGGAAGCCAGTTGGTAACAGGACTTAATTGCTATATTGAAGTTTTTCAGTTCCAGACCAACCCAGCAAATGATATTAAAGAGCTTACCCTAAAACCTCTTAAGGAAGGGCAGTGTTCTTAGACATAATGGAGTCCTCTCCAAAGATGGAAAAGGATGTTAGGTATTTTACCCATTGCTTTTCCTAGTTCCCAGACTTTGTTCTGCTAGCTAACTTTTTACTGTTTCCTGATATGATTTAGAATTCCTACTTTTGAGGAAGGAACAATATCTTGTAGAAGTATCTAAAACTCATCTATTATTTGTTAAATGGCATAAAGCATGCTACCAACAGATTTCATTTAATCCTTCTGCTAGTTTAAGAACAAGAGAATTCTCTAATCTGGGCAACAGGGTGAGAAGCTTGGCAGTGAATAAAAGCTTTTTGCAAGTATTCTCTAAAAAAATCAATCCCCCAAAACCCTTTTTTTTGCTTTTTTTCATAGTCCAAAAATATCACCATAATTTTGCCTGTTTTTCATATATCTACATTTGACCGCAAGATAGAGATGTGACAATTTAGCTTTATTATTTTCAAGGTACCAAATCAAATCGTCAGTTCTGAGAGGAAAGAAGTTCCTGAACACACTGACAATTCACTAAAAAGAGCTATGAAACAATATTGGAATCAGAATCTGTCCCTTGGTCTGTTGGGAGTTTGAAGGGGGTAGAATCTCAGAGTAAATCATCTCTTCCTATGACCAGCACTTTGTTGTTAAAAAATGTTGGGACATATTATCCATGGTCTTGTACATATCATGATCAGGAGGTGCAATAGACCCAGTAATGTATGATCATTATATTAATGCTTCTTTCCTGGTGTTTTGGCCTCCATCTTATACTCCACACTGCACTTCAGCAGAGGGGCATGTTTCCTGATTTACATATTTTTTACCCTTTGTCATATGGAGGAAAGGAAGGATGAATGGACGTACTTTGAATGGCATTGGTGACACCCCACATAAAATTCTTTGGACAAACAATTTTGGAAACAAAACTTTTGAGGCAGAAGGCCAAGGCACACATCTAAGCATACCTCTTATGGATGGGCTGGAGGAACAGGTATGCCTATTTCGAAACAATCCCTCTCTGTGGATGATCTTTGGGGCCTGGCTCATAGCAGTGTGTGGGTGGGGTGGGGGGGGAGGGAATTACTGGGAGTTCTTGGCTGATATCTGAAGGTACTCAAACTGACCTGTATCAGTGCCATCTTTGAATACCTGACAGTCCCTCTGAAACCAGGTGGTAACTAGGTGGGCAGGCTGGGACATGAGTGCCAGGAAATTTGTGACTAGTAGATCACATTGAGTGAGTTAAGGAAACTCATGTGGGGTACAGAAATTATTGAGTTGATGATGTCTGCAAGTCATTGGCAAACCAAGAAGGAAAGTCAATGAAATCCATGTAATCATAACCGCTACACAGTACCTTAAACACGGCAGGTGTATAATAAATGTTGGGATGGATTAGTGAATAAATTTCCGCACAATGTCCTTTCCCCTTAATTTTCAACTCCCAATGCAGTCAAATCTTGTGTAATATTGATTTTTTTTTGCCTTTGTCAATTTCACTGAGATTACAATCTCTATAACTATAATCTAGAACACTGGTGAAAGGTGCTAAGCATTCCTCATGTAATGTTTTCTCCATTGCCCAGGTAGTATCTAGATTAATTGAGGAGCCGGGAGAACAAGCAGTCATAGGACAAGTGTTCTGGTATTACAAAGTTTCTTGGGTGACCGGAAGCTGAAAATTTCCATTTAAATTGGTGGAATCCATCTTATGTATAACCAAAATATTTAAAAGGCTGAGCAACATAAAATTGCTCTGTGATACTCCAGAAGTCTAGAAGAAATATCTCTAAGACTGTGGAGGCAGCAGAAGGTATCTTAAAGAATGAAAAAAGCCACCTCCTCTTCCCAGAAGCAAACTTTGGCAAAAAGAGCAGTAGTAAACCTTATGTGTCAAGCTGTCAATCTGCAGAAAAGATAACACAATTCGACTTTTATTTTTACTTCTATAGCTTGGGCAGTTGTTCTTGGCCAGGTTTTTCTTACCTAGTTTCATTCATACCTCAATTTCCAAAGTTCCAGAATAGCAGGGTTTTGGTTTTGTTTCTGTTTTTTTGGTTTGTTTTGTTTTTTAAGTTCCCAAGTTTGAAAGCATGAATGTATTCACACTGTAATATGCCATGTATCTATCAGTGGACACATAACACTGGCCTTTGTCTTTCACCCCTCCTTCCCATTTAGTATTCTGAATACACAGAAAACCAGGTTGCTGGATTGATCACCTTTGTTTTGATTAGAGGACTGTGCCTTTCATAGAATTTTCCAGTTCTTCACAGGACATACTCTGAGAGAGGGAGAGGATGACAGAATAGGAATTTTAACCTATCTCTCCTCTCTCTCTCTCTTTTTTTTTTAATATGGCTTTTAAAAATCAAGCACTTGAGCCTCTTATTTGATGGTGTATCCAACTAACAGTTTAATCCTTCCAGCAATATCAAGAGGCACTTTCAAAGTGCCTGTACCTGGAGTCGACTGACTGATGTTAAACGCATATCTTGTCCTCTGGGAGTTGTCAGTCTAAGACCACCTTCCCATAAAGATTCAATTCAATTGAACAAGCATTTATTAAATACCTGCTATGTTCCATAGCATTATACTAGGGTTGGTGATAAAATATGTTTTAGTGATTCCTGTCCTCCAAGCAGCTTTCATTCTGAAAAGAACTCAAAGAAAAATCTCAAATTCTAGTGGCTAATACTATTTCACCCTTTTGCCAAAGCAAAATGTGTCCAATCTGTAATTCATTAAATAATTACCTTGCATTTTTCCATTAATAACTAATAGCTCACCATTGTTGGGGGGTGGGGAGGGAGAAGGCAGGCAGCTCAGTCAGCTAGACAGTTAATGTGGCCCTATGGCTAAAGTGTGTTTACCTCTCCATCGAAACTAAAAGAAAATACAAAATCAAAAGATCTAATAGTAAGCAATTTCAGGAATTAATTGCCCATTAGTAATTATCTTTTTTGCAAATTCTTTTGTAAATGGAATGATGGGCATCAAAAAGCAAATCTTGCAATTAGCACTGATCAATAGCACCTGTTTGCAGCCTGACCAGTAAGAAAGGACTGAATCTATTTCTGGACACTCATCTGGGTCCTGTCTTAGGTGTTCTGCTATCAAACTACCATCACTGATTGTCTCTACGGGTCTCATTGTGGTTTTATGCGTTGGGTATTTTCCTATGGTGCTCTTGCTTTGGCTATGCTATTGTAAGGTAATTGCAGTTCTGCTCTTGTCCATATTTCTTTGTATGTGCACCCAAGGTTATGTCACTTATTTCCCCCCCCCATTTTTTCTTAACACGAGAGGTAGCATGGCAGAGGACTGGGGTTGGGCATTGGAGGCAAGAAGATCTGAGTTCGTAATTTGCCCTGGCACAAGCTGTATGGCCCTGGAAAAGGCCCTTAGTCTCCCAGTGCCCTAGGCAACTCTCTAAGGCTGAAAATTAGCTGTAATTTACAGAAGAGTTGCCTATTTGTAACAGCCAGGAAAGTTTCCATACAAGGGATTCCCAGCAGCTAGGAAATCATGGGTCTGGATCCTATCTTCCCTTCCTCAATGCCCAGATAAAAAAGTTATTGCTGTTATCCAATACTGGGTTCATACTATTGTACTACAACCTTGCATCATCAACATTCTTCTAGTCTATATTTATTGTGGCTATGGCCTTGGTCTGCTCCTATTAAACACTTATACTGGGTATGGTGCTGGCATCCTCGTTTTGCACATTTCTTCTAATTATGTAATTGGCATTGTTTTCGGACATTGAGATGATAACATAACTCTCTTTTTGCATGCTGATTTTGGCTAGGTCATCAGTATTTTCGTACCTTGGTGGTTGTGTTGTTAGCATTTTTTTGCATATTTCTCTTGGTTATTTATTGGTATTCTTTTTTGCTTAATACTCTACTTATGTCACTAGCATTCGCCTTTGCAGTTAGCGGGATTATACTTAAGGCATTCTCCTTTGCATACTTAGCTATTTTTCATTATGTCATTGACATTCGCTTCTTCACGCTTATCCTGATTGCACAGTATATGCATGTTTATTTTGGTTGGCATTGGCTTTCTTTTTTGCATAATTTTCCTAGTTCTGATTTTGGTCCTATCCTTTGCATACTTCTCCTGGGTAAGACACTGAGATTCTTTCTCCCTGTGTGTAATTATCTTGGTTATGTTATAAGCATTATCCTTTGCATACTTGTTTTCCTTATGTCATTGGGTTTTCATCTGAATAACTTATCTTAGGTATATCTGGCATTCTCTGCATATTTATCATGGGCATGTCTCTGGTATTTTCCTTTGCATATCTACTGAAGGTATTTCATTGGCATTCTCCCTTTGTGCAGTTATGTGGGTTTGCCATTAGTATTTTCCTATGAGATGTTTGTCCCAATTATGCTCTTGATATTGGCTTCTTGCATTCTTTTCATAGTTATGTCGTTTACATTCTTGTTTTATTCTTGCTGTTGTTATCCACAGCTACTTCCCTTCTGTATCTCCAAAACCCTTTGGATGGAAGACGCTATTGGGCTATTTTATGGACTCAAATAGTCAACAAAAACAGAACCCCCATGGTCACAGCTACAATATGTTTGGATAACTCGAATACAAATTCAAGTTGTCACTTGTCCTTTTGACTTAACAGGGGAGGGGATTTGTTTTAGAATAGTACAAGTGTGTCTCATTTTACACAATACAGCATATCCCTGAAAATTTGTACCTAAATAAAATTTTAATTTGGATCAATTTTGGATCATCTGTATCCCTGGTTCTCTCAGTCAATACTCTTGCAAAATAATCAATCCAATTGTAATGCTAATTAGCACATGCAAATTAATCTGGGTTTTTATATCTTGGGATCTCTTTAAATCCTTTTCATTCAGAAAAGACCTTTCTGGAGAAAAAAAAAACTTGGCTAAGAAAGCTGTCTTTCTTAGTTGAGAACCAAATTATTTTGTGCATATATATCCATCTCTAAATTGCACTAATGTTAGGGCAATCCATCCCCATCCTTGCAAGCCCATTCCTCATAGCACATGCAAAAGCATCCCTGACAGCTAGCCTGCACCTGGGAAATAGCACAATTAAATGAAGTCCTGCTCTTCTCCACGTAATCTTATGGATCAATGGGATTTTGGTGACAAGCTGAGTTTAAGGGATCCTCTCCAACTTTATTTCCCCTTCTAAAGGAAAATAGTAGTGCTTTCTTTCCTGAGCATCATCTCATTTTTCCAAATGAAATGGCCCTCAACAAGCTGATCTTCCATAGATTCTGGTTTGTGAATGGAAATAATAATAAGCTCTCTTCTTTCTTTAAGGAGCCAGAGCAAATAATAACCATGGAGGATAACCCTACTGTCATTAAGATGGACAGTCATGAAGGAACCAGTTCATCATGGCAAGGGAGAAGGTTCATCTCCAGAGCCATTGGCTATGTCACTGGAGATATGAGAGAATATGCAGACTGGCTCAAAGGTATCTATCTTTATATCTCCTGTGGGTTACAGTTCTCTGGTTTTTCTGCCTTTGGATTAGGTCTGCTTCTCCATTCTGTCTGAGGAAGAGACATCCAAAAATACTCCTATTCCCTTTTCATTTCTCACTTCCTTCCTTCCTTCCTATCATTACTTCTCTCTTTTCCTCTTTCACCCTTCACTTCCTCTTCCCCCTAAGGACGCTGTTCTCTTTCTTTTCCTTCCTATCTACAGCCTTCACATCCACAAAAATCTCAATGGAAGATCCAGTGACACTGGATAGATGACGTCATTGTTTAATCTCAATTTTCTCACCCATAAGGATGTGATCCTTATAAGGATCCATCTATGAGATAATAACCTACCTCACAGGAGTGTTGTGAAGTATCATATGAATGTGAATTATGATTCTTAGTTTAGGATATCTTCTCTGTCTTCCTTTCCCTGCCATCACCACAAATTTTCCCCAACTACACTAATACCTGAATTCTCACTGCCTGGTTTATAGCTTTATGACCTTTGTTGTTGTTCAGCCACGTCCAACTCTTCGTGACTTCATTTGGGGTTTTCTAGTCAAAGAAATTGGAGTACCATTCCCTTCTCTAGCTCATTTTACAGATGAAAAAACTGAGGCAGACAGGATTAAGTGACTTGCCCAGGGTCACACTGCTAGGAAGCATCTGAGGCCAGATTTGAACTTAGGAGGATAAGTCTTCCTGACTCCAGGCCCAGGGTTTTATCCACTGTGCTACCTAGCTGTCTGCTTTATGACCTATTGGAAAGCAAATACTACTTCTCCCACACACACATACACATAGACATATACACACACATAAACACTTATCAGCCATTTATACCTTAATATTATTTATACCTATATATTAATTAATTTATTGTGACTTTTATGAGAGTAGCTTTTATAGCGGGAAGGGAAAACAGAGTAGGAAGAAACTAGAGCTTTTGAGGTGAGAAGAAACCCCTTGGGAGCAGAGTACTGCTGAGAGGAGAGAAGAGCACAGAAATATAGACTTTCAAAATTTTTCGTCAGTAACTTGAATAAAGACATAGTTGTCGTACTTACCAAATTGGTGGATTGAATTTAATAGAAATATGTGTAAATACCTGTAATTAGCTTCAAAACATCAAGTGTAAAAAAAAAAAGAAGAAAGAAAAGAAAACATCAACTGTACAAGCATAGGATATTGGAAACATGTGGCCAGACTGCAGCATATCACTAAAACCCGAGGGTTTTAGTGGACAGCAAGCTCAATAGGATTCGACAGTGTGACCTACTAGCCAGAAGCATTCATATGTGTTAACAAAAGTATTGTGTGTAAAATAAGAGACATGCTGGTCACACTGTATGCTACCCTGGAATGTTATGTTCAATTCTGAGCACTGCATTTTAAGGTAGATGTTGGCAAATAGCTTGTTCCTTCTCAGTCTCTTTTACTGAATCATCCCACCTTCTAACCAGGGGTGCTCCTCAAGGCTCTTCTATCTACAGATCATTTCTTTGGTGATCTTATCAGCCCCTTGAGTTCAATTGCCATGTTTATGCAAATGACTCCTACATCTAAATATCCAACCTTAATTTCTCTTTTGAGCTCCAGTCCCCACATCATCAGTTAACTACCTGCTGGACATTTCCATTTAGATATTATATTGTTGTTGTGTGATTGAGTCATTTCAATTGTGTCCAACTCTTTGTGATGCCATTTTGGGGTTTTCTTGGCAAAAGTACTAGAGTGGCTTGCCATTTCCTTCTCCAGCTCATTTTATAGATGAGGAAACTGAGGCAAACTGGGTCTGCCCAGGGCCACCCAGCTAGTAAGTATCTGAGGTCAGATTTAAAGTCAGGGAGATGAGTCTTCCTGATTCCAAGCTCAGTACTCTCCACTGCGCCACCTAGCCACCCTGGGTGTATTGTAAGCATCACAAATTCAACAAGTCCAAAATAGAATTATTTCTCTTTCCCCCCAAATCTGTCCATACTTCTTTATTTCTGTTAAAGATGACACCCAACTTCCTTCCAGTAACTCAGGTTCACAATCTCAGAGTAATCCTTGTCTCTTATCCCTCATTTACCCCATGCCAATGCATATTCAATCAGCTGCTAAGTCTCATCAATTCTACCTCCTCGATATCTCTTGCACCTGCACTCATATAGCCACCACCCTACTTCAGGCACTCATCACTTCAAGCCTGGACTATTTATTACAATAGCCTCTTAATAATTCTCTGTTTCCAATTCCTCCCTTCTCCAATCCATTTTCCACATAGCTGACAAAATGATCTTCCTCTAAAGCATGTGGATTCTCCTGCTCAGGAACCAAATGGATTCCTCTTGCCTCTGGAGTAAATGGAAATTCCTCCTTCTGGGACTGAAGGATCTTTACCATCTGATGCCTAGACCATCTTCCAGATATTTCACATATTTCATGTACTTCATGAACTTGACTGGGGTTAGATATATAGATGTGGAAGTCATTGTCATAGCAAAGATTATTAAAGCTATGGGAGTTATAAGTCACCAAGAAAGTTTAAAGAAAGAAGATGGCCAGAGCCTATGAAAGGTCAAGCTCAGGATAATGAATCAGAAAAAAAAAACTGAGAAAGATAGGTAGGAGGAAAACCTAGAAAGAATGTTACCAAAACACACTGAGAGGACAGACTATACAGGAAGAGAAGGGGATCAGCAGCATCAAATACAGAAGATAGGTCAGTAAGGATGAGGACTTTAAAAAGACGGTAAGATTTGGCCATTAAAAGATCATTGGTAATTTTGAAGAAATACTTTTTTGTCAAGTAATAACATTTTTCTGTTTCCACACATTTGAAAGATTGTCACATAAAAGAGGTATTAACTATAGGTAAACAAAATTAATTAATGGTCCTAACATACACACATAAAATCAAATTAAACCTCATAGGTATCATTGCCAATTGATGGAATAAGATGTATAATGGGAATATGACTCTGGAAAGATTTACCTTATTCAAAAGAACCAGATAAATAAAAAGAAGGGTAGAATTATATCATAGATTAAGATATACTCATGGGAGGAAATCCAAGAACCAGGGGAGAATAGCATGGCAGAGAATATTTGGGTGAAAATCAATGGAGTCAGAAACAGAAGTAATATTGTCATTGAGGTATGCTACAGACCACCGAGACAGAAAGAGGAAATAGATGAATTGAGGAAGTAAATCACAAGTTTGCCACTGAACTATGATAAAACAGCATTGGGGAACTTAATTATCAATATATATCTTCTGGAAGTCTCTCTTCCAAAAGCAAAGCAACTAATCATTTCTAGGCATCTTTGTGTTAATATCATCCTTCTAAAGATGGAGGAACAATTTGTCTTTGTTAATAAAAAAAAATGTTTAAGGTAGAAGAGCTATTAATGACTACAAGAGCATTTTAGAAATGCTAAGTCTCAGAAAATGCTAAGGCTGGCAAGGAAAGCTAAGGGCACCAAAAAGGACCTTAAAGCTATATTGCAGGACCATCAAAAAATTGAGAGAACCAGAGATTTGGGAGGGGAAAGAATTATGATAATGGGTGAGAGAGATGGCAGAACAGTTTTACTGTTGTGATTCTGTTTTCTCTTCAAAGGAGAATGGTGTTTGGATTGTAAAGGATAGAAGAAAATGGCTAATAGGGTATTAACACCTTATATAAGTAAAGAGATTGTAAGAGGACAACTAGCTACTCTTGATAAGTTCAAGTCACCTGGTCCAAATGAACCAGGTTATTTAAAGACCTGGCAAATGTGAAAGGTAACCACAGTGAGAGATTGTAAAGAGCTGGGCCAGTATGTCAGGCTTGGAAAGGTGCAAGTGTTGCCCTGATTTTCAAAAAATGGAAGACATTGGAGTCTGCATAGGCCAGTGAGTTTGACCTCAATTCCTAGCAAAATAGTAGAACTTATAATTAGAGCTAGTGAACCATCTAAGGATCTAGAAGTAATTTAGTGATGGTAAAGAGCCAGATCACTTCATCCAGAATAGGTCATGCCAGACTCAACTTATTTCCTTTTTGAACAGGGTTCCTAGATTGGAGGATACTGCAAAGGCAATTTAATTAGATTTTAGCGAAGAATTTGACAACGTCTCTCATATTGTTCTTATGGACAAGATGAAAAGATATGCACTACATGAAAGTACAGTTTGGTAGTCAAAACTGGTCGAAAAGGTGGGCTCAAAGTGTTGTTAATGTTCAGTATTTGGGCCTGGACCCCACCCAGCAAAACAGGGGAGGTAGTACCTTGGAGAGAAGCTGGAAGAGGGTCTTAGGCTGCAAGACAACCAAGTCACTAAGACTTCTTCCTCCTGTCCCAGAGCCATTGACAAGGCATAAGAGAGCTAGGATCAGAAGTGGTCTCAGAGGCCCTAGAAAATTAAGTGACTTTCTCAAGGCCAATGAGATAGTAAAGATCAGAGGCAGGATTGAAATTCAGATTCTCTAACTCCAAATCCAAGGCTCTTTCCACTGCACCACACTACCTCCCTTATGAAAATGGTGGAAAGGACAAGAATAGGAAGTGGAGAAAAGAAGTAAGAATAATGGCAGTGGCAACTGTAGCATTCAGACATCCCCAGAGACTGGGAAAAACTGTGCTCCCTCTGTCAGGGTACAGATAACGAGTGCCCCACCAGAAGAGGAAGAGCTGGAGGCATATTAAGGTACACTCACCTTGCCATGTGCACATACCAATGACTCTGGAAGAGAGAGTGAAGCTAACAGCTTTGACAGCCCTGCCTCACTCAAATCCAATTCACGAGCAAGTCAAGACATCACGCTCGTGATATATCATTGGTCCTCTTCAAGAACGAAAGATGAACACCCACCACCACCTTTGGGTAAAGATTGGACTAGATCCTCCCTAGGTTCTCCTTCCACTCCTTAGAATCTGTAATTCCATGATTTATTTTGCTCATTCCAGAGGATAGCGTTAGGAGCAATAATTTGAGGGAGATTGATGTTTGCTCAGCAGAAAGTAAAAAACGGAATAATAATTAGAATTAATTATTAATTACATATAATATATATTATATATAATATTAATTACATATTATAAATATTTATATATAATTATAAATAATTAAACAAAATTAATAATTAGAACTATTCAAAATAAAATGGCTGCTTCAGGATGTAGTAAGCTCCCCATCATTAGAGGTCTTGAATTAGTGGATGTTGCAAGTGCAGCCCTTTGACTGAATCCAAATGTCACAGTTTGTGATTTTTGGATTGAAGTTTGGCCACACTTGAGGACCTAGAGGGCCACATGTGGCCTCGAGCTGCAGGTTCCCCACCCCTGGACTAAACCTTTAAGCTCTCAAATGACTATGATTCTATGGTCCTATAAAGGGTTCTACTCCTCTTCTTTGCCCCTTCAAAAATAGAAGAAAAGCACAGTACAACGGAAAGAACTGGAGTCAGAACTATAGAGTCAGAGAAACCGCCTTCATATCCCACCAACAATGCTTAGTGTTCAAGGTCACCTATATGATCTTGTGCCAGTCATTTAACCTTCTTGAGCCTCAATTTCCTCATCAGTAAAATAAAAGGGTTGGACAAAATATCCCTTCTAGCTCTTGATCTATGTAGGGCCCTGGCTGCCTCCTCCAGAAAGCTCTTCCGTACCTCTTTCCCACTCCTGCCCTCCTGCCCTGCCCAAAAGCAGGGGCAAGGCCAGCTTCCTTCCTTCTCACATACTTCCGTGCCACAGGATGCCCCAGAGTCTCAGTGAACTTTGAGTGGAGGCTAAAGGAAACCAGAAGTCAGAGGCTACAGAAGTGAGGACAGGCTAAAGATAGTAGGGTCACTCCGAACCACATCCAGAATCTTTCAGCCATGAGGTACCACAATTCTGCTGTGGACAAAAGAAAATAGCAGAAAAAGGAGAAAGGAAATTGTTGGGCAAAGTGGAATTACTTGTCAATGCATACAGTTAAAGACCCTTCCAAGATTCTCTCTAGCTCAGCCAATGTCTGTGATTTCATCCCCCCAGGGAATGTAGTTTCAGAGAATTCTTCTGGACCTGCCACTTTTGCTTGACCGCAGAGATTAGAACTAGGAGTAATAGGAAGCAGAGGTACCTGGCTCTGTCTTGGACTTTCCTCCAAACAAGCAAGGCCTCAGCTAGACGTTGACTCAATACAGAGACCGCCATCAATTCATTCAGGCCACAAGCATTTACTGTGCACCTGTTATTGCTGGTCAGTTTCAGTTTGTTTTTGTTTCAGCTATGTATATCATTTCACAGTATATCCTTTCAGTCATGTCCGATTCTTTGTGACCCCATTTTCTTGGCAAAATTACTGGAGTAGTTTGACATTTCCTTCTCCAGCTCATTTTACAGATGAGGACACTGAGGTAAACAGGATTAAGTGACTTGTCCAGGGTCACACAGCTAGTAAGTATCTGAGACTGGATTTGAACTCAGGAAAATGAGTCTTCCTGACTCCGGGTCCAGTGCTCTATCCACTGCACCACCTGGTTGTTCTTATTACGTACCTACTATATGCTAGACACAATGCTAAGCACTGTGGCTACAAAAAAAAAAAAAGCAAAGAACAGCTCCTGCACTGGAGGGGCTCAGAATCTAATGAGAAATGTGCACCATATGTACAAACAAACTGTGTACAAGACACAGCAGAGATGATCAACAGAGGCAAGGCACCCGCGTCAAGGGGAATTAGGAAAGGCTTCTTGCAGAGGATAAGATTTTAGCTGTGACTTGAAGGAGGCCAGGGAAGCAAGGAGACGAGATGGGAAGGGAGAATTCCAGGTATGGGAGACAGCCATTGAAAATGCCTAGAATCAGGAAACTGAGTATGTGGTGGAATGAACCGCAAGGAGTCCAATGTCACCCAATCACAGAGTTTGTGTAATGGATTAAAGGTAGAAGACTAGGAAGGTAGGAAGGGGACAGGTTAGGGAAAACTTGGAATGACAGAGGACTGCATATTTGATCCTGGAGGTGACGGGGAGCCACTTTGATAGCTGAGTGGAAGACATGGTTCCTAAGTACTGAGGTTCAAGACGGGGCTGGGTGACTGGCCACTTACTGAGGATGTCATAGAAGGAACTCCCATTCGAGTGCGAGCTGGTCTAGAGGACCTCTGAAGTCCACTGTCCCGCCAAGATTCTATGAATGGCGGCCCTTGCTTTCAGTACTTAGCAATGACTCATCTTCCTTCCATTTGGTTTCTTTCAGACAAACCTATCATACTTCAGTTCCTTGACTGGATTCTTCGAGGCGTATCCCAAGTGGTGTTTATTAATAACCCCATCAGCGGGATCATCATCATAGCTGGGCTGCTGGTCCAGAGTCCCTGGTGGACCCTCACAGGCTGCCTGGGAAATATAGTATCCACGCTGACAGCCCTACTGCTCAGTCAAGACAGGTAAGGGTAGTCTGTTGGGGTTTGTTTGTCTTATTTGCTACAACCCTAAAACTCCATGCTAGTGAGGAATGACAAATTCCATCAGGAAGGAACAATGACAAATGTGTCCTCAGATGAAGTGATTCTCTACTTTCAAAAATCCATTGTAATTCTCAGAGTCCAAAGTATTATTTTTTTCCTTTTTATCACAGATATTGGATGTTGTATCCAAATTATAGGATCTTTTCACATCTCTGAGGCCCCTTTAAATTTTAATCCTTTCAAATCAGGAGATCCTGATTTGAAACTGCTATTTGTTGTTTAATCATTTCAGTCATGCCCAACTCTTCATGACCCCATTTGGGATTTTCTTCGCAAAGATACTGGAGTGGTTTGCCATCTCCTTCTCCAGCTCATCTTACAGATGAGGAAACTGAGGCCGACAGGATTAAGTGACTTGCCCAGGGTCATACAGCTGGTTAGTATCTGAGGCATTTGAACTCAGGAAGATGAGTCTTCCTGACTCCAGGCCCAGCACTCTGGGCATTATGGCACCACCTAACTTCCAGGTACTCTAGTACTCTCCAATCTCTCCAGGCCTCACTTTCGTTATCTGTACAATGAGAGGACGAGACTACATCATAGCATTGTAGATTTAGGTCCAGAAGGGGCTTTAGACAGCATCTGTTCCAACCCCTTTATTCTACAAATGAAGAACCTGAGGAAGGTAAATGACTGGTACGTAGTCACACAAATAGATTAGGCTGGATTTGAACCCAGGTCTTTTGATTCCAAAGCCATTGCTTTTTCTACTATACCATATTTATTGTCTGCCTAGCCTTTTAAAGAGTGAGTCATCTAGGGTAATATTCTTAGAATATAAGTTTTGTAAAGCATATATATATATATATATATATATATATATATATATATGAGCATAGATCTAAAGCTTAAAGGGATTTCAAAGACCACCTAATCTATTCCTCGTCTATTTTTCCAATGAGATCATTGAGGAACAGGGAGGTTGTGACTTGTCCAGGGTCCCATAGATAGTAAATAAACATCAGAAACAGGATTGGTACCCAGCTGTCCTTGATATTAAGGTAAACTCTATATCTTCTACAATACCCTGCCTGTATTTACATAAAGGTGTATATATAGACATATATAGATATGGATACAGATATAGATATAGATAGATACTCCCTAAAATGAATGGACAAGACTAATGACCTCTAAGGGTCCCTTCCTGGGAAGGTGACAATCAATGATTCTGTAACCCCATATGTAGACATCATCTGACCCTGGATCAGATATTGAAAGTTGAAGGGGGCCTCAGAGGCCATTTAGTCTAACCCCCTCATTTTACATTTGAGAAATGGAGGCTAAGTGACTTACCCAAGATTACACAGGAAATAAGCATCAGAAGGAAGATTTGAACCAAGGTCCTTTGACTTCAGAGCCTGTATCCTTCCCACAGTTCTAATTGATGCAAAAAAAAATCTGATAACATCCTCTTCCCATACAAATGTTCATACATTTTTATTTTGTTAGCAGAGTACATGTAGTGTTAACACAATAGAATAGTTCTTATCTCCAGAAGGACTTTGTTGAATGAATATGTGTGGCCTGGGAATTCATGGATAGGGCCTATGGTATCTTTTCTCTTTAGTATATTTGTATAATGAGTTTATCAAATTATTTATTGTCCCCTTCCCAGGAAAGAAAAGTTTCAGGGCAGAGGGGGGGGAGGTAGCTCCATGTGGACTGCAGCTAAGGAGAAGGAGCCCAAGTGGGGCATCCTCTGTGCTCTGGGCATTGGCTAGGAGGGGAGAGAAGTAAGAGTGCTGTAGGTCTAAACTCTACTTAACTCCAAGACTATATACAAAGTGGTTGCATATTAATACGAGATGAAGCTATCTATAATCCTTTATTTTGGCTAAAAGAGCCACTCCAGGGTACTCAAAAAACTCCTGAGTTGCTTCTAATTATCTAGCCTTTGACTGAATGATAGATAGGGAAGGTCATTTCCAGCTCATACTGTATTCTGTGACTCATACAGAAGCCAGAATCAAGGAAACAATGGGCAGGTTGGTAGAGGGTAGAAGTCCTTGTCTACTTGTAAGAATCTGAATCTTATTGGTTCAGGTACCCTTTCATCCTTCCCTCCCCTCCCCGCCCATCCTACTGCAGAAGCAGGTTGAAGTACATCTCTGCCTTTTCATCCTTAGTGTCTCTTGTTCCAGTGACAAGCTTCTACAGAGAGCTGACCCTAAGCGCTGAAGAAGGCCTTCCTTTAGGTCAAGAGTCCTATTTCATATCATGGACTCCTTGGCAACCTGGTGAAACCTATGGACCCCTTCTCTGAACAATGTGTTTAAATGCAGAAAATGTCCTACATTTGGGGTTACAAAGAAAGTCGATCATATCGGCTACCAAAATTTTTTTAAAGAATCATTTTATGAACTCCAAGATAAGAAGGTGTGCTCTACACTGATAACTACAGAATGACATTTCTTATACTCATATGTTATTGACTTCTTGCATGTTTTCCAGAAAGACTTTCCAAACTTTTCTTCAACACCTAATCCTATTTCTTCCTACTTAATCCTATTCTTCCTTATTTACTCTCAGCAGACAATCTTTCTGCCTACTTGACCGAGAAGACTGAGAGCCATCTGAGGGAATGCCCTTCGCCTCCCCCATGCTCTAAGTCACTGAATACTTCACAAGCATTAGCTCTGGGTCTGGGCCGTTCAACCCACCATCTTTGTCCTCCTTTCCTTACAGAAGCAGCCTACCTCCTTTTCTTTGATTTATTTACTTTTTCCTACCTCCTTTTCTTATTATTTTGTACTAGTCGTTGATGACTATGCAGGGATTTGGGACAGGCTCTGAGACTCCTTAATTATGGACACAAATATATAATTAGCACATCAATTGCTTTCGTGGGCTTTTGTCTGTGTGCCTATGCACCTGGAATTCAATTCAATTCAGCAAATATGTAGTAAACACTTATTTTGTTTTGTTTTGAGCTAGTACTCTGCCTGCGAGGCCTAGGGACACCCTGCTAGAAACAGAAATAGTGTCTGCCCTCCAGAACTGAAGCTTTACTGCACTGATACCGAAATAAAAAATAGTTTGAGGAAGAGGCCAGAGGACTCACACTACTGGGGTTGGGGTGGGCAGCAGGGACGGCTTTGTGTAGAAGGCCAACATGGGAAGGGAGTATATTCTAGGCTTAGAAGAGAGCTTATGGAAAGACTTGAAAGTTATCTCTTTTTGTTTAAACACTATCCTTTACAATCTTACTTTCACATTAGGTACTTATTAAATATTTGTGGTTTGTGGATTCCTGCTTTTAATTTTGGAGCAGCTAGATGGGCACAGTGAATAGAGTGCCTGACCAGAAGTGAGGAAGACTCATCATAGGTTCAAATCTGACCTCAGACACTTACTAGCTGTGTGATCCTGAGCAAGTCACTTAACCTTGTTTGCCTCAGTTTCCTCATCTGTAAAATGAGCCGGAGAAGGAAATGGCAAACCACTACAGTATCCTTGTCAAGAAAACCCCAAATGGGGTCACGAAGAGTCAGACATGACCAAAACAACTAAACAACAGCAACTCTTAATTTTCCTAATAAGTTCTTTCTACAAGCACAAGGCACAGTAAACTTGAGCCTCTGTGTATGATTGCATATTCCCAGGTAGCAGATTCTGATTTAATGAGGTTTAGGGTTGGTTTTTTTTTTTATTTAATACAGCAGACAGTTAGGAGTCTCACATACTAAATGCTACAGCAATCAGCCCTCTTTGGGAAGCAGCTCAGAGCAGTGAAGAGCTAGGCTTGAAGTCAGGAGAAACCTGGATTTAAATCCCATCTCTGATACTGGTTGTGTGACTGGGCAAGGTCATTAGCCTCTCTGCACCTCAGTTTCCTCATCTACAAAATGGTTGCAATAGTATCTGCTGCATATACCTCTCACAAAATTGTCATGAGGATCAACAGAGCTAACATACATAAAACCTTTTGCAGATCTTAAAGGGCTACCACACTGAGAAGGTGGCATAATTAATACTGATAATGATAGCCTTTATATAGAGCTTTAAGGTTTGCAAAGCTCTGTGCATGTATTAGCTCATTTGATTGATCTTGGTATCTCATGGAAAGACCACTAGCTCTGATAGCAAAGAATCTTTGTTCAAACTCTACCTCTAGAGCTCACTACCTGTGCCCTTAACTTCCCTGGACCTCAAAATCTTCATCTTTTAAATGAGTGAATTGGATTAAATAGCCCTAAAGGCCCTTTCAGCTCAAGATCTATGATCCTAGGGTCCTTAGCTCTTTTAACCATTAGTGTCAGTACCTATAGGCACATGGGTCCTAGGATCATAGATCCAGAGCTGAAAGAGACCTCAGAGGACATCTGGTCCAACCTCCTCATTTACAGATGAGGAAACTGAGGCCCAGAGAAGGTAAATGACTTGGCCAAGGTCACCTAAATAAAGTCAGAGGTAGGAATCTGAACTAAATTTTTCTTACGTCAAAGTCTGTGTTCTTTCATACCAAGCTAAGTAAGGGTCAAGGCTGTAAGAAGTTAGATGGCTTTCACAAGTTGTACATTTTGCATGAGATATTCATAGGTTTATAGATCTAGAACCAGAAAGAACCTCAGAGACCATCTATAGAGTCAGTCATTTTCAGTCAAATCTGACTCTCTGTGACCCCCTTTGGGGTTTTCTTGGCAGAGATAGTGGAGTGGTTTGCCATTTCCTTCTCTATGTCATTTTGTAGATAAGGAAACTGATGTGAACAGGGTTAAGTGACTTGCCCAGGGTCACCCAGCTAATAAGTGTCAGGCCAGATTGGAACTCAGGAAGATGATTCTTCTGACTCCATGCTGGGCACACCATCCACTCCGCCACTTAGCTTTCTTGTCTGTAGAAAAGACACTTTCATAAGTAAAAATCTCTAAACAAGGCAGAAGTCCTTTTTAAAACAAAACACTTGACTTTGGAAAGAAAAGGCTAAATAGAACCAGAAGTGCGTGAATTTGTTCCTTATTCTTCCTTCCCTTTAACAATAAGAAAGATTACCTCCCCCCCAAAAAAAAAAAAAGAAAAAAGAAAAAAGAAGCATACATGGAGATATAAGTATATTTTTTTATTTTTAAAACCATGCTCTTTAAAAAAATTTTATATTCCACAAGTTTTTGTTGAACTGAAATGAATTTGTTGAACAAATTAAATGTATTTTTGTTATTTTACTTATGTATTTGTGTGATGAAGTCTTCCAGCTGTTTCCACCTCTACTCTACATCAGCTGTTCAAGAATATAGAATTACCTTAGACCTCATTATCACTAGACACTGTAACATCTCCATGATCCTGAACTTTGAAATTCCCTCTGACCACAATCTCCTGTGTTCCTCCTCTCCCTCTTCCTTCACTCCTGCTCTTCAGGCTTATCATGACCTCTGTACTTCAGTTCCTCCCTAATTTCACAATATATCAACTCTGTTCTAGGCCTACATACTTCCCTACTCAGTTTTGGTCATTTGATCAGCACTCATTAGTCCCTCTTCACTGTCTTTGAATCCTTTGTCCCTGTGACCTTCTGTTTCTTCTGCCCTGTACCCTTAACCCTGGGAAATCCCTACTTTCTACCTCTTCTGCTTCTACTCCAATGCTATTGAAAAGTGCTGGGGGAGCTCATAAAACTTTAGTGACTGGGCCTACCACACATTTATACTATCTAACCTCAGCTGGGCACTCACTGCTGAATAACATTTCTTTTACTCATGTTGTTGACCTTTCACATTATCCAGAGAGGCTCTCCAAACCTTTCTCTTCTTCAACCCCCAACTTTATCTGTTCCTCACTTACTCTCAGCAGAAAATCTTGTTGCCTACTTGACTGAGAAGATTGGGGGCCATCTGAGGGAATTCTCCTAGCCATTTTTTCTCCACTCCTGTTCCTCTGAATGTCCTCACCAGTTGTTTCCTGCTTTCTAATTACAGAGGAAAAGGTATCTCTCCTCCTGAAGCTAACCTGCTTACCTATACCCTCCATTCCCTCCCCTTCTATCTTCTCTGTTATCTTGCTCTGTTATTGATTCCCTCTTACATGTCTAACTTCCCTTCAGCCTACAGACACAATCAGTTCTCCCGTTTTGAAAAAACAAAACTACCTTTCTTTAGATCCTATTGCAGAAATTGAATTTACTTGAAATTACTTCTTACTTTTCTCTTCCTTTTCACACACTTAAAAAAAGAAAAAAGAATAGTTCATACTCATGGTCTCTACTTCCGCATTGGCTACTCATTGGTCAAACTCTTGGAGTCTGGCTTCCAGCCACACTACTATACTGAAACAGGTCTCTCCAAGGTCACTAATGGCCTAAAGATCACCAAAGTTAATTATGTTTGGGGTATTTTTATGTTTATTATGTTTGGGTGTTTTTTCATCTTGATGAATCACCCTTTTCCTCCCTTGGTTTCCACAATGCTTCATGCTCACAAACTTTCTCCTACTTCTGTGATTGCTCCTCATTCTCTTTTGTGGCTCACCATCCTCCTCCTGCTTGAACTTTGGAATCCCCAAGGACCTCTCCTCTTTTTTCTACAGATTCTCTTCTTTGGCATGTTATATGTTCTCATGGCTTTATTATCACCTCTATGCAAATGACTCATCACTTTCCCTACCATAAACCTTTTCTGTCTCTAAGGTCTCCATTTTTGTTGACCAAGCCACCATCATTCCTAGGCTTATTAACTAAGGCTCATGACTCTGGAACCCTCTTTGTCTCTTCTCTCTCCCTTATCTGACATGATTCAACCAGTAATCACACCTGCCATTTCAACTTGGATGATATTTCTTATCTGGTCTCTTCTCTCTACTCCAACTGCCAACTCTTCTAACATAGGCTATCATAACAGCTCCTAACTGGACTCCACACTGCTGCCTGAGACATCTTCTCTCACACAGTTACAATCACTCCTCTGCTCTAAAACCTTCAGAATCTCCTTCTTCTCTCTCTCTCTTCTCTTCTCTCTCTCTCTCTCTCTCTCTCTCTCTCTCTCTCTCTTCTCTCTCTCTCTCTCTCTCTCTCTCTCTCTTTCTCTGTCTCTCTCTGTCTCTCTGTCTCTCTCTCTTTTTTTAAGGCAATTGGGATTAAGCGACTTGCCCAGGGTCATACAGCTAGTCCTTCTTGTCTCTTAAATAAAGCATTAACTCTTGACTTTGGCATTCAAGATCCTCCCAATTTGGTTTTAGACTATACAGATATTCATACTGCTTCCCTTCATTTTCTCTACATTCCAACCTTATCAGGGGAAGGGAATGAGAAGGGAAGTGAATAAACATTTATACAACACCTACTACATGCCAGGCACTGTGTTAAGTGCTTTTTACAAATATTGTCTCATTTGATCCTCATAACAGCCTTGACAAATAGATACTATTATCATCTCCACTTTACAGTAGAGGAAAATGAAGCAAAGAGAAGTAAAGTAACTTAAGCAACTAAGAAGTTAGGTAATAGTAATGACACTAGTGGTAATATTTATAGTTAACATTTACGTAGTGCTTATGATGTTCCAGGCACTGTGCTAAGTGCTTTATGATTATTATGCCCTTTGATCCTCACAACAAGCCTGGGAGGTAGGTGCTATTATTATCTACTTTTTTTACAGTTGAGGAAACTGAGGCAAAAAGAGGTTAAGTGACTTCCCCAAAGTCACACATCTAGTTATTGTCCAAAGTTAGATTTGAACTCAGGTTTTCCTAACTCCAAGCCCAGAACTCTATCCATTGTATCACCAGCTGCCTCTCTAACTAAATCATTCCATCCTCCCATCCTTATGCTGCCCTCTCCTGTCTCCATGCCTTTGCTCCCCTTTATTCCCTCATGCTGATAATGGATTCCTTTCCTCCACCCATTGAGGTTTTTCCCCTTCCTTTTTTTTTTTTTTAGCTTTTTTTCTCTTTATTTTTTTTTCAGTTTTCAACATTCACTTCCACAAGATGTTGAGTTCCAAATGTTCTCCTCATCTCGCCCCACCCACCCCAAGACAGTGTGCATTCTAAATACTCCTTCCCCTAATCTGCCCTCCCTTCTATCCTCTGCTTTCTCTTATCTTCTTCCTCTTCTACTTTCCTGTGGGGCAGGATAGATTTCTATGCCCCATTGCCTGTATATCTTATTTCCCAGTTGCATGTAAAAACAATTTTTAACATTTGTTTTTAAAGCTTTGGGTTCCAAATTCTCTCCCTTCCTTCCACCCCACCAATCCTCATTGAAAAGGCAAGCAACTCGATAAAGGTTATACGTGTGTAGTCATGCAAAACACTTCCATAGTAGTCATGTTGTGAAGAACTAACTAGTTTCCCTTCATCCTATCCAGCCCTCTGTTTATTCTATTCCCTTCCTTTTTAAAAGTCCACCTCAGATACTGCATCTTCCAAAAAGTCTTCCCTATCTACTCTTTCTTCAGATGAAATGCCCTCTTCAGTGTCTCAGTTTTGCCCGGACTTCTTTGTTCCTCTTCTCTTCGTCTGAAAGTTATCTGGTTACTATCCTTCTCTTCCCCTCTCCCCTTTAGACTGTAAGCTGTTTGATTGTAGGGCTTGTATGATTTTTGTCTCTGTGTTTCCAGTACAGAACATGGTTCTTTTTATATGTAAAACGATAAATGTTGATTGAATTGAATGATGGCACCTTGAAACCTTAACTAAAGTTACCTTAAGATTGTATGAAATGAGAATATGAAGGGAAAAATGCTTTGGAAGTATGGAGTGCTCCATAGATGCATGGTTCTATCCCACCTCTGCAGGATCAGCATATGTCCAAATAACTCAGAGTGGGAAGACCTTCAGAGACAATCTGGTCCCTCTCCCTGAAAAAGACTCTCCCGTCAATATCAAATCAGATATGTGATCATGCAACCTTTACTTTAGACCTCCTGGGAAGGATATTCCTTTATTATAGATTTCAGAGCAGGAAGGGACCTTGAAGACCATTGAGTTCAATTTCCTCTTTTTAAAGATGGGGAAACTGGGGAAACTAGGAAAATGGCAGAATATGCATGTCTGATGCCTCACCCAGGATCACACAGATAGTAAGTGAGAAGCAGCTAGGTGGCACAGTGGTTAGAGCATTAGGCCTGGAGTTAGAAAGACCAGAGTTCAAATCTGGCCTCAGACACTTACTAGCTGTGTGACCCTGGGCAAGTCATATAACCTTGTTTGCCTCAGTTTCCTCATCTGTAAAATGAGCTGGAGAAGGAAATGGCAAACCACTTCGGTATCTCTATCAAGAAAACCCCAAATGGAGTCACAAAGAGTCAGACACAACTGAAACAACTGAACAAGAATATCAACCCAAGTCTTCTGACTCCAAAACTGGGACTCTTTTCTGTACTGCCAGGCGTCTCCCGAAAGGGTAGCTGTGATTGGTAGGATGATGTCCTTATATCAAACCTAGATAATTAGCTTTCACCCATTACTCACAGTTCTGTCCTCTGAGGTCAAGCAGAACAAGTCTAACCTCCATGTTGCAGCCCATCAATTCCAGTGCCTCTTTCCTACAGGTCAGCAATTGCCGCTGGGCTTCATGGCTATAATGCCACCCTGGTGGGAATACTCATGGCTCTCTTAAGCTACAACGGAGACTATTACTGGTGGCTTTTATTCCCTGTACTTGTCATGTCCATGACGTGGTGAGTACAACCTGTTTTTAAAAAATACATGCTTTTTCATTTGCATCAATGACATGCAAACAGTTGAAAAAAATTAACATTTAATGCTGCTGGTTATTTGAGGTCACATGCTAAAAATTTAGTGAATTCGACTGCTGTTTTATACTGAAATGAACAACCCAGATTTATGCTCTAAATACAGCCTCAAATTCTTCTGTGATAGCATCCCACATTAATATAGGTATACTGAATATATACCACATACTGCTGAATGTATTTCATTTCCTTTTGGAGCATTTTAATAACAAGTAAGAAAATGGCAAAACATTCATGTCTAATTTCAGAATTAGAGAAGATTATCTTACTTCATCCTGATATCAAAGAACTGTGATTTTGCTTGTGGTGAGAACCTCAAGCCAATGGATCTGTCTCCAGATAAGTTCCAAGGGGCTCCAGAAGGCTCAGAGAGGTTAAGGGCTTTGCACAGCTAATAAATGTCAGAAGTGGGATTTGAACCCAGGTCCTCCTGGCTCCAAATCCAGCCTTCTCTCTGCCACCCCTTTGTTGCCTGTCTGCCTCGTGCTTAAATTTAAAAAAAAATAATAAATTTAAAATTTTTTTTAAAATCCTCTATGGTTTCCAGTTTTGGAAAATTCCTCACTATGATAAGTGCCTCAAAGCATAGATTCCCACAATGTCTAAGATTTTCAAGGCTTTTTTCTGAATTTGCCAGTAATTCAATGCATTTTCATGAGATATTTTTTCAAGAAAACTGCTTAATTCTACTTCCCTCTCTTCCGTTGTATGCATACAAAAGTGCCTCCTCTTGATTTTCTGTTATGCTATAGAGGGTGTGGAAACCTGTGTCACTCAAGGGCACATGGACCACAGTCTCTAACCAATTGAGAATGCAGGACAAAAAAAAAATTCAATTTTTATTTCTGGCAGGGAGTGGATGTGGTGAGAATATCTAGGACTTGGGTTTGTTTGTTTGTTTTTCAGAGAGAGCTCTGGACAATTTATAGTCTTGGAAAATTGTCTAGAGTTAGGAGACTTGCCCAGAGTCACACATCCAGCACATGTCAGGGATGGGGCTTGAATCAAAGGCTTTCAGATGCTAAACCCAGCTCATTAGCCACTACCCCATGATTCCTCTCATGAAACCCATTTTCTCTTTTTTTTTTTAAAGGCAACTGAGGTTAAGTGACTTGCCCAGGGTCACACAGCTAGCAAGTGTCAAGTGTTTGGTCTGAGGTCGGATTTGAACTCGGGTCCTCCTGACTTCAGGGCCCATGCTCTATCCACTGCGCCACCTAGCTGCCCCTCATAAAATGCATTTTCAAAGTAGAGGTTTACCCTTTTGTATGCAACTTCAAAGTATGAAAATCCAAATCAGTAACAAAGATTAAATCATGGAGTGAATGTTTTTCTTTATAGCCGTATTTTTCACTGTGCAACAGGAATCACCAGGGTTATTTTTTTTCAATAAAGCTCCCCTAATGCATTTCTATATATCCTATCAAGTTAATATTACACACAAGCTTGCTAGAGCACATTTACCAAGTAAAGTCAAGTCTGCCTATACAATAGCTCTCAAGTTGGTCTTCCTGGTTTGACATCTTTGTTTTGTTTGTTTTTCAGTCCAATTTTTTCCAGTGCGTTGGGCTCAGTGTTCTCTAAATGGGACCTCCCTGTCCTCACCCTGCCTTTCAACATGGCATTAACAATGTACTCAGCAGCCACTGGATCTAAAAACCCTTTCTTTCCCACCAAAGTAGCTACAACATCGGTTTCCAATGTCACCTGGTCTCAGATCAATGTTCCTGAGGTAAGAGTTACATTCTCTTTTCACATTTTCTCCTTACATAAAATATAGTGAGAGGTCTGTTGCTTTCTTGTGCATGAATATAAAAGCCCTTGTGCATCCAAGACACTTTATCATCTCTGTAAAGTCATCTTAACTGCCATTATTAACAAATGTTAAAAATCAGATTCAAAACAAAGTTCTTTTATAAAGCCCATTGGATTCCAGATAATATGAGGTGAGTCTACTGGCTCAAGGCTGACATTCTAACTTTTTTATGGAACTCTGTCTGAACAACAAAAATAGAGATAATACTACAGAGTAGCTGCCTGGAAAGGCAAGTATTTTATGGATTGCTTGAATGTTGAATTGAAGAATGTCATTAAAATTGATCCTAGACAAAAACGAATTTTGGAGCTGAAGGACATCTTAGAGATTTGCCCTTCACTGCCTATACCACAGGCAGGTAGGTGGGGCAGTGGTGACCACTCCAACCCTTTTCTTTTTCTCTTTTCTCTATTTCCAGCTCCCAACAAATATACACAGAGGCAGGTAGGTGGCACAGTGGATTGACTCTGAACTTAGGAAGACCTGAGATCAAATTTGACCTCAGACACTTCCTAGTTGTATGATCCTGGGCAAGTCATTTAATCTTTGTCTGCCTCAGTTTCTTCAACTGGAATAATAATAATACCTAATTTGTAGGGCTATTATAAGGATCAAATGAGATAATATTTATAGTGCTTACCACAGTGCTTAACATATAAGTAGGGACTATATTTTGTTGTGGTTCATCCTTTGTTTTCAAAGAGGGCCAATGACATCAGATGTTGGGGTAAAATAGTGCATGATGGGTGATATCTTGACTTGCCTGTGCATTGGATTTAAGTAAGGCGGAGTTGCAAAAAACTCGTCAGCCTCATTCTCTCTTCCAGAGTCATCGAAGTTACAATGACTGGTGACGGCCCAGAATGGGGTGTTCAAGGAGGACTACACCTCCCGTATGAGGGCTTGCTGAGCCCTTTTCAGGGCTGCTTATGCACCTTTGGTGTCCACCTGTCAGCCAGCTCTCACCTGTAGGCACTATATGAAGTTGGGGAAAAAAGAGTTGGGAAGAAAGCTCTCTGTAAACCTTAAAGAATCATATAAAAGTGAATTGTGTTCATTACCCAATCATGGGATTATCAGACATAGAACTTGCTGTTGTTTGTCCTTTCTTCTCTAAGAGGACCATGACATCTGGGAGGTGATGCCATGGCATGCATGTGAATTGGATTTAAGAGGGAGGGCTGTGCAAAGTCACAGGACTCATTTTCTCCTCCAGAGCCGCCTGGGTCCAGTGGCCAGCTATAGAGCAGGATAACTGGAAATGGCCCATGATGCAGTGGTGCACCTTGGCCTTTTCAAGCTAAGGTCTTTAACAGGTCTTAGTTTGACTGAGGCAATGCCCATTCAGTGATTAAGACTTAATAAGAAGAAGACGATGACGACGCTGACAACAATGATACCACCACCCTATATGGACAGAGGGAAAGAAAGAAGGAACTTGAAGGGACCTTGGAGATCAGCTAGCCTACCTCTACCAATTTATAGATGAGGGAATTAAGACCTAGAGAGAGAGGAAGGGATCTGCCCAAGGCAACTCAGGCTCTAAGAAGTGGAGAAGGGATTCACACCCAGATTTTCAATCTCCAGTCAGAGTTCTTTCTACTATACCAAGCAGCTTCCTCCCTTCCTTTTACAGAGAAAGAAATGGACTCTGAAAGTGGGACTGACTTGCCTATGGTCATATGACGATAAATGAGTGATCTAGAACTAGAAAGCAGATGTCCTGGTTCCTTGTCCTTTTCCATTGCCATAAACTGGCTTTTGCTCATTTTGATTAATCTAACCCTTTTAATTTAATTGTTGAAGAAACTGAGGACCACAGTAAAGTGGCTTGCCCATGATTCCACAGATAATAAGTAGTAGAGCCAGCAGTCAAGTTTTCTATCCCTGATCACCAATGATAATAATAGCTAACTATGTAGTGCTTCTATATGCCAGGCACTATGCTAAGTGCTTTATAATTATTATCTCATTTGATCCTCACAACAACCCTGGGAGGACAGATCCCATTACAGATTAGGAAACTGAGGCCAACAGTTTAACTGACTTGCCTGAGGTCACACAGCTAATAAGTATCTGAGTCCACATTTGAACTCAAGTCTTCCTGACTCTAGGGCCAGAGCTCTATCCGCTTGCCATCTAACTGCCTTCATGTATATATGTTGGGGATTGAAAACAGGAAAAAGAGAAAAAGAAGAGAAAAGGGTTGAAGGTAGAACCAAAGGATGTGAATTCTGGTTCTTCTTAGTGTTTTTCTGGCAAGTGTGATTAAGGTCATCTTGATAACTGCAAAGTAGAGAGAACTTGATATTAAAGAAAATGAAAGGAAACTTGACCTTTTTAACTCATAAGTGCTTGTTTTCAAAGACTGAAAAATGCTTTGGTGAATTTCCAGATAAAGCCCCCAAATAGCTATTACTCTCTCTATATACCCCAAATAGCTATTACCCAGCAAATTTGAGGACTGTTATGAGTAATTACTTTTCCCCTTTGTCAGTGGCCCAGAAGGATATTAAAGGAGAGAATTAAGTAAGTATGGGGATATTAAAAAAAAGGAAGAAGAAACATTCTAAGGGTACAATCATATGTATAACAATAATGTCAGTCTGGTAGCCTTCAAAGCTTTGCTTCAGTGGTCCAGAGGAGACCAGACATGTTTGAAGGCTTTCTTGGACAATCTGGATGCCTTCAGAATGGCCCCAGCTCCAAGTTAGGACTATTCAGATATTGGCACTATCCCATGCTGGAAACAAACCCATGGCATAGCTCCCAATCTCCAAACAAAGCTATTACTCATAATACCAGGCTTTCATATAAATGGAATAAGAATCAAATAAGTAATCAACACACATTTATTATGTTTAATATGTGTGATCCCCTGTGCTAAGGGCTGCTAATACAAAGAAAAAGCCAAAACAATACCTGTCCTCAAGAAGCTTACATTATTATGGGGAAGACAACATACACATAAGTCGGTATTTACAAAATAAATACAGTCCATGGAAGATAGCTTTAAGAGAAACAACCATCTCATCAGACACTAACTGCACCCAAAATAGCATTTTCTCAGCCTGATATGACATTGCCCTTTTCTCCTACATGGCCTGAATATCTCACACTTACAGTCATTGTTTTCAGAAGGTCCCGATTAAAATGCATACATGTTTTTAGAAGGGAAGTAAGAGGAAGGTCATGAGGAAAACGAGGAGACCTCCTCTAGGAATGAGTTTATCATATTGGTAAATTGTTACCCAAGAAGGAACCAAGAGCCTGGTCCTGAGAGGGGAAGGTGAATTGGGAAGGAGAGGAAAAGGCAATGTTGAGGTAGGGTGCTGGACCACAAGGGGGGATGAAGTACTGAAGTTACTTAAAAGAAGGGAAGGTAGGAAAGATAGATATTATTTTCATTATATAAATACGGAAACTGGGATCTAGAAAATTTGTGTCTTCTCTAAGCTCACTCAGATGGTAAGAGAGTGCTCCCTAATCCAGGTCTCCTGACCTCCAACCTAGTTATGCTATATTATGCCTTGCTGCCTTCCCCAGGGAGAGCTATTTGCAAGACTCAAATGAGATGATGTACATTAAGCACTTTGTAAACCATAAACGTTTCTGTCTAGAGTACAATAAATGTAAGCAGTCATCATTATGATTATGACTTCTCCATTTGTTCCCAGCACCTACACTGGAGTTTTACAGCAGTTCAGACTCTACCCAACAATGGGTCACTTTGGCTAAATTCTGCCCAAAGACAAACAATTCTGCCAAACCAGTTTTTTGGCAACCAGAGAATCTACTTTCTAGCTATGGGGCTGAGTTTTTCAATTTTCCAAGTAGTTACTTTGACATCACATAGGGATGAGTCTCCAGGCACAAACTGACATCACCAAATTAGATACTACTGAGAGAAGGGGGGGGAGGGGAAGGTCACTTAAACTGCTGTCTGATGGCATGTGACTTTAAACCATGCTGGCAATTAGATAAAATGTTAGTTCCTGCTGTCTTTGAAGTTGATTTTCTGTAATATTTAATAATCCAAGAAATGTATGCAGTCGTAAATGGGTTGAGGTAAGCCACCCTTGTAAACAGTTTCATACAGCCCTTGTGCATTTCTCAGAAACCCATGAAACTCTTAGAACAGCATTCCTCCCATCCCTTCACCCGCTGACTAACCAATCACAGCTAATGTTTTAGTAAGGCAAAGGATAAGAGCATGAGGGCCAGAAGGGACTTTAGAGATCATCTCCAGTAGTGGTTCAGTGGATGGAGTGCCGGCCTTGGAGTTCAAATCCTCCCTCAGACACTTTATTAGCTCTGCAACCCTGGGCAAGTCACTTAATTTTGTTTGCCTCAGTTTGTACATCTGTAAAATGAGCTGGAGAAGGAAATGCCAAATCACTCCAGTATCTTTGCCAAGAAAAACCCAAATGCAGCGAGCAGTAGCTATAGTTGGGGTTGGGGGAGATCAAGGAAGGTTTCATGGGGCTGGCACCCCAGCTGAACCTTGAAGATGAGGACAAAGAGGCAAAAAGGAGTAGCAAAGGGAAATGGAAGGTCAAGTTTGAGAAACAGCTAGTAATGCTATTTGGATGGGACTTTGATGGTGGAAGCAGGAGGCAGTTGAAATAAGGTTGGAAAGGAAGGCAGGTAGGAGGTAAGTTGTTAAGACTCATAAAGTACTAACCTGAAGAATTTGTATCCTAGAGGCCATAAGGAGCCACTGAGGTTTTTGAACCAGGGGGCGATTTGCTCAGATCTGTGCCCTGGGAAGATTTTTGTTGCAGCTATGTGAGGGATGGATTGGAGCAAGGAGATACTAAAAGCAGGAAATCCAGTTGGAAGCGGGGGTGGGGGGGGTAATAGAATGAGAGACAGCATGGCATGGTAGATAGAGTGGTCCTGGAGGGCTGGAAGACCTGGTTCACACTGGCTGTGCAATGCTGAGCAAGCCACTTAACCTCCACTCTACACACTGTTGTTCAGTCTTGTCTGACACTTCGTGACCCCATTTGGGGTTTTCTTGGCAAAGATACTGGAGTGACTTGCCCACAGTAGGTAGCAAGTGTCTGAAGTCAAATTTGAACTCATATCTTCCCAGCTCCAGGCCTGATGTTCTATACGTTGCACCACCTAGCACTACTCACACCTGCATCAGTGTAAACAGTTTGATGAAGAGGAAAATTATAATAATCCTTTACAAATTCCTACACCAATCGGGGTGACCCAAGGTTCCCAAAGGAACATTTTCTATCCTAGAGGGAGCTAGGTGGACCAGTGGTTAGAGTGCTGGCTATGATCTCAGGAAGGTCAATTCCTACCTCAAACCCTTACTAACTGAGTGATCCTGGATAAGTCACTCTCTCTCAGCTTCAGTTTCCTCATCTGTAAAACTGAGATAATAATAAAAGCTATATCACAGAATTGTTATGAGGATCAAATGAGATAATTTGTGTAAGGTGCTTTGTAAACCTTAACACACATTTTAACTATTATTATTTCTAAATTATTATACATATTGTAATAATATATATTATAAATAAATATAAATTATATTATAAAAATTAACTATTATAATTTCCCTCCCAGAAAGGCTTCAGGTACAGTCTTGGCCACACACAGAGTCAGCTTTCTGAGCCTAGTTAATTGTGTGAAGGCTCTTCACCAGTCAGCTGACCATGCTGTAATAAATTCTCTGATGCTGGCCATCTTTGAAAGAAAAGCACCAAGCAGCCCTCAGTCCTGGGCTGCTACCTGCCACTTCCGTGCTTAGAGAGGCATAATGACAGTTGCTGGGGACAAAGGATGCTAACAAACATGTATCTTTTAGACCCTCTGTATGTTTTGATTTGGCTTTGTACTCTGATTGTGAGATCATTTTCCAATGACCAACAAGTATATATGCTACTAGAAAGAACTGAATCCTATCAGTCTTTATACTCTTGCTAAAGGAGGAGGAGGAGGAAAGAAGAAGGAAGGCAATGGAAAGTGCGTTGGGTTTGGCACCAAAGTACCTGAGTGTGCAGCCCACTTCTACCATCTAAAACCCACATGACCTTGGGCAAGTCACAGTCTCCTTGGGCTTCAGTTTTCTCATCTCTAAAATGAAAGGGTTGGACCAGATGGCCTCGGAGGTGCTTTCTACCTTTAACAGTAGGATTTTAAGACATCATTAAGTGGAAGAATGGCTTATACACTCCCCTTGAAGAGTAAAGGAATTAGAAGAGTCCATTTTATTGTGTGCCCAAAGGCAACAAGAAACATAATTTCATGGCTCATTTGTTCATTTCATACTTCAGTGCTCGTTAAAGTAAATTTGCAAAAAATTGAGACCAATTTTAGCTTATCAAACAACAGTGGTTGCAGTAGATTTTATTTTATTTTTCTTTTTAATAGTATTTTATTTTTTCCCAATTACATGTAAAGACAATTTTAACATCCTTTTTTTAAAATTTGAGTTCCAAATTTTCTCCCTCCTCTCTAAAACAGTAAGCAATTTGATATAGGTTATATATGTGCAATCACGTAAAACATATTTCCATATTAGTCATGTAGTCAAAGCGGATTTTAGGAAGAACTTGAAAAGAACCTCCAAATTAAATCAACATATACTTTGATACTTGGTAATTTTGCTGCAAAGGTAGGAAAAGGTGAAGTGGTGAGAATTACATTATTAAGCACAGATCAGGGAAAGGAATGAGACCAAAAGCTTTTTAGGCAACACAGAAACCTTACACTTATGTATCGTAACTGCTTTCTTTGACAAGAGAATTGTGGAAAAGTGGAGGAGGGACCACTGAAAAAAATCAAAAAATTATGTTGTTGGTATTTTAAGGAAATGACTCTTCAATAGTCAGTTATTTGAGTAAAATATATCTTATTAGAGCTTCTAGTGGGATGTATGGAATATTCAGGGAGGACTAGCCCCTCTGGTTTAAGGGCTTGCGAGCCCTTCTCAGGGTTGCTCATCCCCCTTTGACGTCCACCTGCCTCCCAACTCTCACCTGTGGTTCCAAAAAGCTGTAGCATGCGCAGGGGCCACAACCCAGTAAAACCATCTTAGTAGATGGACTGAACTAGGTTGAGGGTAACTGATAGTCCTCAAACCCATCAGTGAGTTAAGAGATGTCTACCCTAAGCATGTGAAGACTCCTCTCCCCCCCCCCCCCGGCTGATGAGAACAATTTGTTCCAACGGTCATGAAGGCAGCTGAAGCAGGTGCTGTGGGGCATTTAGAGCGTGGTCAGACACCAAAAATCATCTACCCTATCCTGGCCATCACCTGTCATCCTGATTTTTGGCTTGCCACTAGACTTGGATGACAGTGAGTCTGATGACTTTGTGTAACTCTTCCTCACTGAAATCCAAACCATGTGCAAATCAAAACACTGTGATATCTTTGGTGATATCCAAATCACCTGTGATATCATTGGTCCTCTTAAAAAATGAACAACAGCAGCTCCTAGTTAGACCAAAAGTCAAAATTAACATGAAACTAAAAGAAAGAATAAAACTGTTCTAAAAGATAATGTGTGTCACTGGAGTAAATTAATCTTAACCTATTCAAATAAGCTACTAAAACTTAACACTGCGCTAAGACTTTTGGAACACCCTAAACAGTCCCTAAGGTTGTTAAAGTACTTTCTATAACACTATGAGGAAGGTTCTAGAAGTTCTACAAGTATTATTATCATCCCCATTTTTTCAAGTGAGAATACTGAGACTGAGACATGTAAGTAACCTGTCTAGCATCACGTAATTAATAAGCATCTCAGTGGAGATTCAAACCCAGGTCTCCCTAACTCAAATTCCTGTGCTCTGTCCACTATAGAATGCTACTTCTCAGTCAGTGGCATTTGAAGATAATGTGAATTTCCTTCTCACAGCTGGATTTAGGCCTGTTTGCCAGGACACAGATGGTTCACCTCCTTTTTGACTGTAGCCATTTCCCCCCCCCATTATGGAATCTGAAATATGTCTCTGTTGTATACAGTTGTGTAGTGAGATTGCTTCCAACTAAGATGAATTTGCTTTTTTTTTTTGGTGAGGCAATGGGGTCAAGTGACTTGCCCAGGGTCACATAGTTAAGAGTCAAGTGTCTGAGGCCACATTTGAACTCACGTCCTCTTGAAGCCAGGGCTGGTACTCTATCCAGTGCACCATCTAGCTGCCCCAAGATGAATTTACTTTTAAATGTCATAAAAATGTTTCAGTCATAGCTACAGACTTGTTATTAAAGTATGCAAAGATTTAATAAAGCCCATACACATGTCATCTTGAAATAATTTAAGGTGTATTTGTACATTGCTTAACAACCAAGACAAACAGGGAAATAATCACAAGAAAATTAATCACTTGGTCCCCATCAATAGTTCTATTGTGAAGGATAAACTTTTATTTTCTTAGGTCAGACCCTATACCTTCCTGGGAATCCTCTTATGTGAAAAAAGTTGAGTTTGAACCCATATAGGAAATGTAATCAGGAAATACATAGAGTGTTTAAGAATATTATGTGCTGGGGGCAGCTAGGTGGCGCAGTGGATAGAGCACCGGCCCTGAAGTCAGGAGGACCTGAGTTCAAATCCGGCCTCAGACCAAACACTTGACATGTACTAGCTGTGTGACCTTGGGCAAGTCACTTAACCCCGATTGCCTCACTAAAAAAAACAAAAACAAAAAAACCAAAAAAAAAGAATATTATGTGCTGATTGCCAGTGATGACTGACATAAAAGCTTTGTTCAGTTGTGTCTGACTCTTTGTGACCCCATTTGGGGTTTTCTCAGCAGAGATACTGGAGTGATTTGTCATTTCCTTCTCCAGCATGTCTCCATTTTACAGGAGAGGAACTGAGGCAAATACAGACTAAGTAACTTGCCCAGGGTCACACAGCTAGTTATCGGCTAAGGACAAAGTGGAACTCGGATCTTCCTGACTCCAGGCCTGTTGCTCTATCCACCGCATCACCTACCTACCCCAACACCTTAGACAAATAGCTGTAGTCAACAACAGAATTGTAAGCATGGTCCTAGTGAATCAATTTACTATTAATTGCTTCCAATTTTATGGAAGTTTTAGACTAAGTTTAAGTCTTTTTATTATTATTATTATTATCATCATTATTATTATTATTATTATCATTATTATTATTATTATTATTATTATTATCTTCCCTTCTTTTTGCTGGGGTTCAGATAGAAGTGCTCTCGGGAAAAGAAGCTATCCTATCATTATTTCTTTATATTCAGTGTTTGATTGGCACAGGTTTTTTTTAGTTGAATAAAAATAATAGGTTTGGAAGTTTATTCTTGGTAGGTTCGCCACAGGCATCCTCAGGACAACTCCGGTAGCATACAGGATATCAGAGATGATATGCACCTCATCCTCTTCTTCTTCTAGGTCTCTGTGCTTAGAAAGCTTTTCCTTCCATGGAGCTTGGAGACTATAACCATTTGGGATCTCAACATCCATTAAAAATATTGTCCTTGAGTTTTTGTGAATCAGCATTATATCTGGGCAATTATGTGTAATAGTTTGGTCTGTAATGATCAGAATTATTAATATTAGCAATAGCTATATTTTCTGAAGCATAGCAGCTCATGAAATTATCTTGTTTGGGGGTAGTGGCTGGGGTCACTGGAAGGAGCACCCACACTGATCAAATTTTACAAGTTCCCAAGTTTAAAACTAGAATTCTGTCTTGGATGCTTGCTTCTGTCTTATCTATCCTGTGGGACTTGGTTCAATATCTATAGCCATGACCCGTGTTCACTTGAGGCTGTTTATATTAACCCTGTATTTTTTTTTTTGTGGGCCGGGGGGGGGGGGGGTGTGATTTTTACAGTTACTCAAAGCCATCCCGGTGGGAGTTGGTCAGATCTACGGCTGTGATAATCCTTGGACTGGCGGCCTTTTCCTAGTTGCCATTCTTCTCTCCTCCCCGCTCATGGGTTTGCATGCAGCGATTGGATCGACAGTAGGGATTATAGCAGGTATGCCCACGTGCCTAGGAGGGGCGGGTCTCTCGAATGAAGTAGGTGATGTGTAGGGCTGTCATCAAACTTCTGCTAATCCAGCTTCTTTCAGTGTACTGGGCCCCTTCTTGAAACGTTCACTAACTCCATTTCACTTGTGTGATAGGGCTGACCCTTTCAGCTTCATTCGATGATATCTACGTTGGATTATGGGGCTACAACAGCTCTCTGGCCTGCATGGCAATAGGAGGAATATTCATGGCTCTCACTTGGCAAACTCATCTCCTATCACTTGCCTGTGGTATGTATTCAATGAAGCTCCAGGGCTGGCTTAATAACTATGAGTTGAAAAGAAAAAAAAAAAAAACACTGACCTAGAAGCATCAGATTTAGGACAGATGCTCTTAACCTTTTTAGTGTCATAGACCCCTTTGGCAGTCTGACGAAGTCTATAGACACTTCAGGGCAATATTTTTTAATGCACAAAATATGCATGATTACAAAGGAAACCTGTTATACTGAAATCATTACCAAAATATATCTAAAAAAAAAAACTTCATGGGCCCCAGGTTCAGAACTCCTGACTTAGGGTGATAGGTTTAGAGCAAGAAAGGGCTTTATAGGTCATCTAACCTAACCTGCTCATTCTACAGATAAGGAAACTGAGGACTATAGCTAGAAGGAACCTCAGATCATACAAAGTCACCCCTAACTTTAGAAAGGAGGAAAATGAGGAGCAGAAGTTAAATGTTTTCTTCAGGGTCACAGAGGTTGTAAAAGAGCAGATTAGTAACTTGACCCCAGTGGTTTTAATGCTAAATCAAGGGTTCTTTTCACGATACCACACTAAGTGTCAGAATAGCTGGGTTCCTATTCTATCTCGCTCACTAACTTGAGTGTGGCCTTAATGTCAAGAAACAGTCAAAGGCAGAAAGGAGCCTGTCCCCTCAAAGCTGTACTCCATATACTAAGCTATACTTAGATGTACTGTATAAGGTAGACTGGCCCTGCCTTATGAATAGGGAAGGAACTGAGAGGGCCGCCCTTTGGCACAAAAAGGAACTGGAAGGTGGACGAAAGGTACACAAGGATGTGTGTGTGTGTGTGTACGTACTTATATATGCACCCACATATTTACACATATTATATGCACATACATACGCACATGTATATGTACATGTGTGTGTGTGTGTGTGTACATATAATAGCATTCCCTTTAGGTAGCATAGTAGCTGGCCATGCAGCAGGGCGAGACCCAGAGTTTATTGGGATAAAATATGAAGCTACTTAGCTCAGGAAGCAGTACTGGCCAATTAGGGCTATTATTCTCCTACACTCTGTGACTGTAACAATTTTATATCCTACAAATTTATTTTTTCTACCAACTTTGTTCTGGCAGCTGACAAAGTCCTTTTGAAAAATTCAACCTTTGTTTTAGTTGCTCTAAGCGAAATAGCAGGACATGGAGGGTGGAGCAGGGAGACAGAGACAGAATCCATGAAGAATTCTGAAGAAGATAAGATATAGGTGAGTTTAGGGTGAGGGGAATATGAGGAGAGGTCTGGAATATCTCTAAGACATTGTCTGATGCCATGACTCCATTTCTCTAAACAGAAGGGGCTGAATAAATAAAACCAAAAGCATCCCAAATGGGTCAAAGGTATGACTCTTTCTGCCCAGGATCTTTATGTACTGAGAAAGTCATTTGACCTTAATTTCTTCCTCTGTTAAATGGGAATAATCATACCTACTTTCCATCTACTCACCAGGTTGTTTTGAATATAATAAGAGATCACAATGATGAAACAATTTAAAAGTACTAAGTGCTATTCAGATCTAAGCTGCAATTATTATGGTTATTGTTACTCAGGGAAAAATGAATATAAGTTGTCCTTTAGCCTAGTATTCTTGACACTCAGGATATGTTGTGACTTAACTTCCTGGACTCCAGTTTCCTCAGCTATAAAATGATCTAGATTATTGTCATCACCAGGAGAATGTTTCAGGCCAAAGAAATCAACAGCAAATTCTTTTAAGCTAAATCCTAAACCCACTTCATTAAATGCATTAGCTGATTAGGCTGAAAACTTTGGGGAATGCATGAATTGTCTAATCAAAACTGTGTTAGGGATGAGGGGGACCTTGTTAACTCATTTATGGGTGAAGTCCATTGCTCAAGGTCACATAGTTCCTTACTGGTCCAGCTGGGCCTTGAACTTGTATCTCCTGCTTTCTCTGTCAGTGTTCTTTGTGGTACACCATGCTATCTCCTTCCACATAGGTGGACTCTGGCTCCAGGACATTAGAACATTAACTGAGGGTCTAAAAAAGCTAACTTTTTCTCTGATCGTTGTTCTCACATCCAGGGAGTGGTTTATTCTTCCATAGGCACTGTTTGTTTATTTTGGAATAGTAATAGAAGCTGACTTATCTCTTTAGCTCATCGTGGCATGAAGGTGACCCTGGGGTTTGAGAGTCTCTAAAAGTGGGGCACAAGCTCTGGAACATCCTGCCATTCTGCAAAGGCTTAGAGAAGGGTCTCAGTGATAGTCTATCTCATTTCTGAGGACCAACCTAGCTAAGTACCAAGAAGTTCATCACTAGGAATCTGGTCATTGGGTGAGGAACTCTTTAGCCATTGTTATTCAATTGTTTTAGTCATGTCTGACTCTTAATAACCCCATTTGGGGTTTTCTTGGTGGAGATCCTGGAGTGGCTGGCCATTTCCTTCTCCAGCTCATTTTACAGATGAGGGAACTGAAGTCAACAGACTCAACTGACTTGCCCAGGATCACAGAGCTAGTAAGTGTCTGAGGCCAGATTTGAACTCATCATGATGAGTCTTCCTGACTCCAGGCCCAGCCCTCTATCCACTGTGCCACCCAGCTGCTCTCTTTATGAGAATGAGAATCCATAAAACAAATGAAAATCCTAAATGGCTCATCTCACTCCTGGGCAGCCCATCCCCCTCCTACTTCTCACCAATGATGGCAGACTGGTGAAACAGGGAGAAGAACATATGAAAAATACCAGACGTATCCTGGTTATCAACATAAACTTCATTGTTGATATTCTAAATGTGGGTTCTTCATCCAGTGACCAGCAAGTTGACATACTACTAAAGGAACTCAATTATGTCAATCTTGAAGTCCCCACTATAAATGAATCTGGCAAAAAGACATTGCAGCTGAATGGAAGGATGGCTCATGGGCTTTCCATAGGGAGATAAATAAAAGAGTTAGTGGAGTTGGTTTTATCGAATGTCCAAGGGCAGCAAGAAACATTTCATGGGATCCTCATCCTCATGCATTTCAATGTTCATGATGAATGTCTGCAAAAAGGCCACCATAAAGATAATTACAGCTCATGCACCAGTGTCACAGAAGTTAAAGAAGAAACTCTATAATGTACTTGACTGTTGTTGTTCAGTTGTTCCAGTCATGTCCAACTCTTCTTGACCCCATTTGGGGTTTTCTTGGCAAAGATACTAGAGTGGTTTGCCATTTCCTTCTCTAGCTCATTTTATAGATGAAGAAGCTGAGGCAAACAGGGTTAAGTGGCTTACCCAGGGTCACACCACTAGTAAGTATCTGAGGCCAGATTTGAACTCAAAAAGATGAGTCTTCCTAACTCCATGCAGTACTCCATCTGGCACTCTGTGCAGTATGGCGCCACCTCACTATCCCAAGGAACTTGATAAGATCATCCAAATTAAATCAACACATACTTTCATGCTTATTGCCTTCAATCCATGATGTGCAGCAGGAAAAAGGGCAAAAAATATTTTGGAAAATACGTCACAAGATTAATAGAGAAAAGAGGCCAAAAGCTTGCTAGATCACACTGAAACCTTATGACTATATGTCATGAATAGATACTTTCTTTAAGAAGGGAGTCAGGAGGCACTGGACATAGAAAGAACCAAATAGCATCACACACACAAAAAAAAGGAAATAGACTTATTTTAACATAGAAGTAACTTCCAAAACACCAAAGGTACCTAGAAACCACTTTAACCAGGAAATGCTTGATCTTGCCAACAACAACAAAAAATAAGATGGCATCCTGTGTCAACACCAATTTCAAATACAACTTTAGGTGCAAAACTGAATGGAAGAAGATGGTGGAAGACCATGAATGGTATCACTTTATAAAACTGAAAGAGAATAGAGAATCATAGCGCTAAATCTGGAAGGGACCTTGGAAATCATCTAGTCCAACTCTCCTCATTTTACAGAGAAGGAAACTGAGGCCTACAGCAATTGTGACTTGCTCACGGTCACATGGTTAATAAACATTAGGTGGGATTTGAACCCAAGTCCTTTGATTCCAGAACCAAAGCCCTTTCCACTGTGCCACATTTGGAATGAGACACAGTTAAGTCAGACTATTCTGACCACACTGCAGGATTAAATTAGGAGAAAAAACCAACAACTTGTAAAATAGCAAAGATCTGTTAAGACTTTTATAACAGTTGTGCTCTAACATCCCAGCTCCAATGGGTACAGAAATGGCATTAAGGAAAACAAAGATGGTAAAAGCAGCTAGTTAGAACCAAATAGACACAGACAAGATCTGTGCTGGACATGACACAAATGGGAAGGCAGTGAGACAGTGATTGTCAAGTACTTGGAAGAAGGGAAGATACCAAATGCTTGGAAAAATCTCAGATGTTATTAGTTCCCCAAAAAAGCCACCAAGAAAAAAAATCAGTAACTACTCATCCATATGCCAATTTTCCTATCTCTATAAAACCTTTATAAGAATAATATACATTTATGTTGTATACATATATCTCAAAGATATCTTCAAATTATGCAAAGAAAACACAGTTCATAAATCATATTCCAAAACAAGCCACATTTTTGCAGTCACACAATCAATAAAAGGTGTAGAGAATGCCATATGATTGGCTTATTGGCTATAGCACTAGCATTTGATCCTGTAGAGTGCCACTTCAAAGGTTAACCTCCAACAAAGTGTCCCCCCGTAAGAGTTAAACTCATGAGATTCCTCAAAAGATATAACATCAGAAATAATGTTGATGACCTTCTGATTATTAATTTCAAGTAAGCTATAGAATAAGGAGACTTGTGCTTATCAAAGGTGTTTATCCCCATCTTGGAGGATTTGCAATGCAAAATCCAAATGAAAGAGGAATTTCTTTCTTTTTTTTTTTTAAACAATCTGGGGGTTTCTTCCATTAGAGAATGTCCAAGTTAGGGTTTATTTGCACTTTCGGGCTTTGATCTTTCTTAGGTAGAACTCAAGCTCTTTGCCTTCGAGCACGTAGCTGTCTGC